CTGCTGTTGTCACATATGTAGGCACTCATGCTGACCTTCCTGATAAGACGTGTTATCAAGTTGCCTATGCAGAAATTTTTTCATCCTATGTCCCACTGCACAGGATTATGGGAGGATGCTGTGCTGTTGTAGATTACAGAATACGAATGTTTCAATTGGAAAACTTCAAGTCAGAGCACTGAGAAGAGAAAGAGGTCACCTAGGACAAATGTAGAAAGGGGAATGTGGTCGTTACTGGTGTCTGCTGTCAGTAACAGAAACCAGGATTATCCTTTTTGTCACTGAAACCTGACAGAATTCATCCATCAGTGTTGGGGTCTGTCAGTGTCTAGGTCACATGAACAGATAAAATTTAAACACTTAGCTGGGTGAAAGAGGTCCTATATGAGGCATATTGCCTTTGGTGTTGGTGGCCGACAGCAAGCCAGGGATTGCTCTAGTGTGAGACTACTGAAACCAAGACCTGCTGTTCAAGCCCTGCAGCCTCGCCGCCTGCTGGCACAACTCACGCTTTGCATACCCTTCCTTGCTTCTCCAGTCAGCTTTGTGGGGGAGCTGTATCAGCCAAGGATGCAGACCTCCTCCCTTCCTCAGCAGACATGGGGCTTTGGCATGACCTCACCTGAGCAGAGAGAGTCCTCATGAGGGAGGATTTTTCTCTAATACCATTTAGGATGGATTTCAACTCTTTCAGAGACCTGGCAAGGGACAGAGGCCCTTATTACCTTCATCTGTATCCAAGCTGGAGGCTGAACTGCCTGACCAGCTTTCAGTTTTTGAAGCCAGAGAGATTTATAGAATTTAAAACACATTAGTGGATGTTTGAATTACTTTCTGAGTATGCAAATGTTGACACCCATTGAGACTAAGCCTGAGAGTAACACATCAAGCTGAAGGGGCATGAGGTCACCTATGATGCAACCCTCATTCCTGGGAGACTCATTTAGGATGCTGATTACTTCATGCCAGAATTTTGCCTGGTCTCCCAAAGAAGTCAAAAGAGTCAAAGTTGTCCTAGCCCTGCAAGGTACTTGTGTGTGCTGGAGCTGACAATCTCCCTTCTTTGTTATTAAGGCTGAAGAAGAGTTAGTAAAGGCTCAGAAAGTGTTTGAAGAGATGAATGTTGATCTGCAGGAGGAACTGCCTTCACTATGGAATAGGTGAGTGCTGGAAGTTTTCCCAAGGGCTGGCTGGAAGGAAGCAAATATCCCAGCTCTTGTATCACTGATCACCTTAGCTTGGACTGGGTGTCTCCTCTTCTTTTCTGGATATGTCAGTCTGTCTTAGGATTCCCCCCAGCCGGGTTCACCCTGGGCTTTCTGAGCTTTGCTTCATGATTTTCCTGAAAAACACAATTTTTCCACAATGGGAAATTGTTTCTTTGGTTTGTCTGATTAATCCCTTTGCCCTACCAACTCTGCCCAACTTTCCAGGAAGACTTGAGAGACAATGCATTTGCCATACTGTGGTGATGAAACGGGCAGTAAAGAAACTGACATTTAGCTTGGAGGATGAACTGGGGGGGCAGGAGAAGCTGATGTATGGGGAGGACACAGTGGAAAGCAGGCAAAATCTTCCTAGGAGTGTCCCGGTTACTTATTTTTAAATGCAGTGATCATGTCTGGGTTGACAGTGCTTTTTTGTGGGGGATGGGGAGAGTGGGCAGCAGCAGGGTGGGAGAGCAAAGTGCTGATGTCTGCCTTCACTCCCCTTTCTGCCTGGCCTGGGTCAGGACTCTCTGCTCAAAGCAGAATGCAGGCCTGGCTAAGGAAGGAGCTGGGAGGGATGCAAGCATCTGGGTGGTTCCATGTGCAGAACTGTGATGCAGCTGGCCATCTCCCTCCTGCTGTTGCTCTTTCAGCTGGGTGCTGATAGAGCACTCTCTTGGCATCTGGCAGGCTGGCTAGAGGAAGGTGGGTAACAGGCAGCTGCTGGGGTTTTAAGGTGCCACAGGTTGCTCAGTTTCCTGCTATCTAGCTGATCCTTCTGCTTCCCTATTGCTCTCTGTGCCTATCCTGTACTTTCTTACTCTTTCTGCCCCTGAAGCAAACCTTTCATGCTTTTTCGCTTCCCCTGGTGCTGAGGGACTTCAGAGTGAATTAATATCTGTCCTGCCAATTCCCCCAGCTCTCTGAACACTCTGTCTGCATCACAGCCTCTATCCTTCTCCTTTCCACCTTCCTACCACAGACACGCTTTTTTTTTGCTTTCATTCTTTTTTTTCTTTCTTTCCTCCCTGCCCTGCACCTTACTCTCCCTTTAGCCAGCCCAAATTCAAATCCTATCCCACTTGGTCTCCTCCTCCCCTTAGACATATTTGCCCTGTACCTGGCCTTTGCTCCATCACCCCCTTCGTACTTCCTGGCCACTCTTCTCTTCCCACATGTACCAGACCTGAAAGAGTTGCATTTGAATGGGAATGGTGAATGGGAGGTAACAGAAGGGGCAGAATTGAAAGGTTTTGGGAGACTATTGTGTCCACTAAGTTCTTCTGTCTCATTTTTCATTTGGCAGTCGTGTTGGTTTCTATGTCAACACATTCCAGAGTATAGCAGGCCTAGAAGAGAACTTCCATAAAGAAATGAGCAAGGTAAGGCAACTAACAGCTTATCCTACTTATTCTCTCCTCACTACTAGTATTAAAAAAACAACCAAAATAAAACAAGCCAAAAAAGGCTAGAGAAAAAGGCCCTATGTCAGAGCAAAATAGAAACCCTTAGTTGTTTTCTGAGCCACTTGGGACAAAGGCTGTCTGACATACTAATGTAAAGGGATGGACCACAGGGCCATGCAGCAGTGGGGAGTTTGTGTCACTTGACAGTGCTCCTTTGCAGATCCAGAGAGGAAAGGGAAGTCACTTGTAGACCTATCTCTTGCTGCTTTTTTTAGTTCACCTACATTATGGATCTGTAACCTATAACCTGAGTGCACTCAGCATGGTATCTGTTTTCCTCCTCCTCTGCTGCCTGGCAGCAAGTTGATGAGTACCCTCATCTATCTAGCTGTGGGGTTGAATACAGCAGGGAACCTGCCAGTCTTCAAGTCAGCTGAAGACTGAGACCTGCCTCACTCCAGTCCCTCAAAAAGGCACTTCCCAGAAGTACCTTTCTGCTTTGGCTTCTTTCCTGCCCTGTGACCCAAAAGATGACATTTGAGTACTTAGCTTGGCATTTATATGGGCTACCAGTTTGCCATGAGTTGGGAATCACAGCAGTAAGCAGTGTTGTAAGCTGGTGGTGGTGAGCTGGATCCTGGTGTTGTATGCCAGCATCCAGAGGAGACCTCAGGAACAGTCTGTGGGGAAAGTCTCCCTTGCCACTGTCATTTACAAATACATTCATGTTTTCTCATGGAAAAGCTAGAGAAGTCCTGAATTCCTTAGGTCTGTACACTGCTTCCAAGAGTTGCACACCCTCTGTAAATGTTGCCCTAATCTTGAGGAGGGATTGAGAGCCCAGCTGGAAAACCCTTATATTCCCTCCACTCCCTAATGTCATCCTGACAACAAGACAGCCGCTAAGCAACAGGAAACATTATAGTCTGTCAATTCCCAGCAATCAGGGGCCCTCTGCCTTGGTGTAATGCATCAATTTTGAGCCCTGCTGACATTTTATGGGGTCTTTTCCAATTAATAACCTTCTCTTCTCCACTGGGGGATGAACTAACCATTAAGAATAGGGAGGGTTGTTATAATTATCAGTTTCTTGCTGTTAACTTACATTCAACATAACATAGGAAAAATGCTTGTTAGACAGGAATTCTCTTCTTGTATGATGTCAGGATTTTTCTTTGTTGAGGAATTTTGTATGAGGGCAGGGTTTTGCTTTATTCCATGAGAACCATCTGTTTTTTATTACTGCTAGTTAACTCCTGGTGTTGCCTGCATGATGTCTCCAACATCGATTGCATAGGATCCCTCCTCTTACCAGTGATAAATCTGGCATTTCATCTTGTTTATGAATTGGCTATTTAAGAATAGGATTGTCTTGAGTGTCACAGCCTTTAGTGCCAGGGAGAGTTTAGCCCCTAATATTGCATTTCTGCAAAGATGTCCAGGTCCTGCCCAAACCTAGATGGCCTAGGCAGCCTGTGAAGTTAAGGCTTGTTGAGTTAAAAGTCCAGCTGCCTTTGGCTCCACAGCTGAAATGGCCATATCCCAAGTTTTGATGAGCAGGTCTGAGGAAGAGCTTTTCACTACAAATCCAGAGTGAAGCTTCACTTGTAACACATGGACTCTTAGGTAAACACTCAGCCTGCTTCTGCAGTGGTACCTGGCAGCACACAGGTGGGGCCAGGTGACGGAGAAGCAACAGGGACAACCTGTAAGGAAGACAAAGCATTCCCATGGGATGCCAGCAGCTCTTTGACAGTTTGAGTGATGTATCATTTCATACCCCACGAAGGAGTGGAAATGGATTTAGGGCTGTCTTCAGGGCTGTCTTCTTTTGACATAGCTGTGTATGTATGCATGTCCAGGCGCAAGCCTGTGTTTGGTTAGCCTGTGCATTCCAGCTCAGACTCTCTTCTGGCACTTGGGCTCTTTTCTCATTCTTTTTCTTTCTTTTGTTTTTGTATTTCGCAGTTGAACCAAAATCTGCATGATGTCCTGCTGGGTCTAGACAAGCAGTACTCAGGCAATGCCTTCCCTGTTAAAGCACAGCCCAGGTCAGTAACTGGGGGAGCAGTGACTTTATCCCAGCTGGGGAGGAGGGACAAGGGTGTCTCTACTGGTGTATTGAAACCTCCATGTTGTCAGTTAGGAGTGATTTAACTACCTGCCAGTGCCCTCCTGGGAATTCCTAGAGCATGTCCAAGGTTGCACTTGGGGCTGGGTGACACAATGTGAAATCTATTACCTTTCTAGGATAGCATCTGGAGGCCTAAACTTTCACTAGATGCTCATATTTAGGCAACTGACTCTCAGCTCTGTTTTTTTGAAGTCCAGTTCCATGCACCAACATGAGATACTGAGCTGCCCTTTTTTCTGGGTCCAGTTTCCCAGCACCTAACCTGTTGATTCCCTCAAAAGCTTCCACCATGTACCTGCAGCTTGTGACTGTGAGCACCAAGAGTCCATTTGTTTCCCCAGCCTCCCCTTTGGCCCTTCAGACTCAAAATCACCTTTTTGCCAAAGTCTTATGCCTGTTCTGTATATGCAGCTGAAGTGCATTTCCTTTCCCTGTGTGTTGTGGAAGTAGTTGCAGGCTTACTAATATGAGGCCTCCTGACCTCAGAGCACTTTCAGTCTTCTCATATGCAAGAAGTAAGTGTCCTACAGACCTTTAGTTGTTTTTCCCTCAACTGGGTCCTGTCCTGTATGGTTAAGTGCAAGTCTGCACATTCTCTAGCACTGAGAAGGGAGGGAGAGGTTGGGCTCTGGATTAGGCTGACTGGCTCCCATCCAAGTGCACGAGTGATGAAATAGTGTCGGACTCTGGCTTCCAGCTGCTGCTAATCTCACGTGCTGGGTGAGCAGGAGCACAGCCCAAGTCCTCTACTGGTGTATTGATGGAGGGAGGAGGTGGAGTCAGCATGAAGTAAGGATAAGCTGTGGTCTGAGGGCATTGATTGGGAAGGAGTAGATCAGCTGTTGAGACTTGTACTCCCTCTCTCTTCTCCCTGTTTAACCTTCTATTGCAGTCATGCGTAGACAATGTGTGTGTCTTATTCCAACGTGTGTGGTGTTTGCCAGCTCTAAAGAAAGAGGAAGTTTGAGTTGAATTTGGCCCGTAAATTTTGGATTGCTGACACTAGATTTCAGAGATGCTAGTAGGAATGCTACTTGTGAAAATAATGTCTTCCCAAGTTAGCATGTCATGTCTGTTGATCATCACAACCCAACCAGACTGAAACCTTGTGAGGAGGACATGGTGCCTATCCTCTTGCTGTGGTGGGCCATGTTGTCTCAGTTAGCAGCATCCTCCAGGGTCCTGGGGGTAGGATGAGGTAACAGGACAGATGAAGGCTATAGCCATTGCTTTGTCCAGCTCCTTCCTCCTCCCTTCTTTCTTCCTTGAGGAAGTGATTGCAGACTGTAGGGACAGCCTGGCACAGAGGTGTTCATTGCTGTTGTGGCATGAAGTTTCCGGCCTGAAAGAGCTTTCAGTGAACATATTACTTCTCATGGTTCTCGCTCCCACAAACTGCTAGCTTCATCTGGGGCTGTAATGGGTGTCTCAGCTGCAGTTCTGTGCTCTTTGGCTGGCTATGAGACCACATGGCCCTAAAACCTGAAACTGAGTGCATGCACAGAGGTCCCTGTGTGAGTAGCAATCCGAGTGCGGCCGTCATTGTGTAACTCATGGCATCTTGGCTGAGGTGTCAGACCTGCCCCACAGCAACTCTCTTCCTCCTGAGCACAGTGGAGTAGGGTGTTATAGGAGTCATCTGGGTAGTAAATATGTTTTGCAGTGACCAGGAAATGCTGTGAGGTACTTCTGTCTCTCTGCACATCTGGCCTCTCATTGTGGCACAGGGCTGGAGCAAGAGCATGTAGGAGGAAATAGCCCTCACTGATCTGATTGCTTATTGTGGTCTGCAGTAGGAGCAGATGCTTCCCTAACCCTTTTCTGCTGAGAAGGGGATTGGAGATGGATACAATGGCAGGAAATGAATAAGGTGGTGTGAGAAGAGAGGCAGTTATCTATGCACATCATCATGGCATTCATGTGAGGCCCTACAGAAATATTATTGTGACTGATGGATACGATGCTGGCAGTGTAGCACAGTAGTACAGAGCAGCTGATGTATTTTGGGAACCTCAGACATATGTTTGGGATTTGTTTCTGAAGGAGTTTGAACATTCAGGCCTTAGATGCCTAGAAGACCTAGGAGATCTGTGGTGTTACCCTAGTATGATTGAACAAACTGGAAAAAGCTGTAGTAGGAAAGCTGCTGATTAGGTTCCATGTATAAACTGCATGCAGATTACATAAGTAAAGGAGAATGGGGAACTTGTTTCTTGTGTACCAATATTTACAGGGGAGAGTGAGGGGCTGTGAAAAAAGGACATTTGCAGGACTCTGCTAGTCTATAGAATTTCCTTTTTCTTCTCCATGTGCATCCTGGCCCCATATTCCAAAATGTAGAGGAAATGCTTGTTTGCTTATATGTATGTAGCTCTTTGGCAGGCATGAAAAGCCTTCTACCTTCTCCAAACCAGGCCATAGCTTTCTAGGAATGAGGGGAAGTGTGTATGTGTTTCTCTGTGTGTATTTGTGTGTCTGTCTGTGTCTGTGGGTGAGAGAGAGAGGAGATTGTGTCACCTTAATTACAGTGAGTTTTGTGGCACCAAGTGAATGGGTGCTTGGAAGCTTAACTTTTCCTCCCTGGTTTGACTGTGCCATCCTGTAACTGAAATGATTTGCGTGCCATCCTCAACAGAAAGAAAACTAAACTGTTCGCCAGGCTGAGGAAAAAGATGAGCAGGTACTGGTACAGAGAGCAGCATTTCTATACGTGTTTGATTTAGTTCCTAAAACTGGAGAGGCTGTTGCTGGACTCTAACAGCCTGGCACGTGTTAACCCTGTGGTGGGAGACCTGTTCTTTGCATGATACAATGTGTTCATGGCCTGCTGGGTCCTGCTGAGATCTTTCTGTGTCTGGATAATCCCATTAACTGCTTGTGTGCCTGGTTTGAATCCTTGCTTCTTTTTCTATCCAAGATGACAGTGTGAAAGCTCTGGCATTGTCTGTTCAGTTGCTTTTGTGTGACTGAAAATGCAGTGCTGGGTTTTCCATGGGAAATACAGTCAATTTTGGTGTTTAACAACTTCTATTTTTACTTATTAGGTTTGCCCTTTTGAAAAGGTCTGAAATGCTGCATTCTCATTCCCTTGCCTGGCCAGGGAGGACCAGGAGGCAGGTCTTTCACACTCTGAAGTCCTTTCCTATCTGCCTGCTGCAGTTGGGGGGATGATGAGGTGGTAATAGGACACTTGCAGCTTTGCTTCTTACTTGCTCCTTGTGCAGGGCTGGAGGAAAAGGAAGCCTGTTGTCTTGTGTAAAGACTAGTGCCTGTATCTTGCCTTTCAAGACAGTGATGGCATTGAATAACTGGATTGCTACAATGCCTAGAGTTACCATAGGTCAAGGACTCTGATGAGAATGTGCTCTGGAGCAATGTGGGTATTGCTGCATAATGAGGTGGAAAATTCCTCTAATTTTTGTTTTTCTTACTCTTTGAGTTGGTACTCCCTCCATGGTGTCTATATAGAAAGAAAAAAAATTGTCAAGGTGGTGTCCTCCTAGCAATAAAAGCAAGTGCTGGTGGACTGGGATCTTTGCTTTTCTGATCCTGACTTCCCACTGACTAGGGCAAGTCATGCAGCTTTTCTCTTTTCCTCTGCTATGCATCCTTTTAAAGCAGGAGGCTGGAAAGTGGAGAATGATAATTGCACAGGGAAGCTGATGGTAAAATCTTGTTATTTTTATCCTCAAATGAAAAGTAGTGAGGGAATGTCTTGTTACTATTCCGAGGTTTTTCTACTGTAGGAAAAGGAGGATCAACTGGAATACTTCTCTAGATGCCTGTCTCTGGTCTTGGTTGGACTGGTTGTACCTGCACCAGGCAGGAGGTCTAATATTTCCAGTTACTGAGAATGGATGGATGCTACAGCAGGAGGGCTATTAAATGTCACCTTGACAAGCTCTAGCCACAATGTCCTCCTACTCTGCCTTGATAAAGTCCAACTGGTCCAGCAGTTAAGGTGCCTGACCTGGGCTCTGCTGGGAGTTTCAGCTGTCAGAGCATTTGCTGGGTTCACAGA